CATCATTAGTGATGACCTTCCTCCCAAGTGTGGAAGAACTGGTGCGTTTATTTTCGCGAGCAGATCATTGAGTTTAGAGTCCATATGACCGAGTTACCATCAGCGATATAGATAGGCACAGAAGCACCCAACTGCGCGTATGCATGGGATGCCTCCGTTCTGGTCTTCGTTGTGTTCGTATTTGTATAGGATCGTTTCTAAATAAGTATCAACAACCACAAGATAAGTAGCATTATGTTATCGGAACAAACTGGGAAATGCGGCCCATTTTAGCTCATTTGCTACTTGTCACCGACCATATATGAACTATCTACTCTAGCAACAGCCACATAGAGTAAGGTTGGGACCCATGACATCTGCGTATGCTATGAATATCCGATTTTTTTCTGACAGCCGCACAACTGGCACGGTCAATGACCGTACCACACCCCTCTGTCAAACCACATAGGAAGTATGGTGGTATGAACAGGAAGAAAATGAAGCCCAGTGCAGCTTTACATTATCCATCCTCGTACGGTCGAGGTCAAGGTGTGTAGGCTGTGAAAATTACCGAAGTGATCCCCGATATGCAGTTTCAGATGTTCTCCACAAGCTCAGTTGGAACTTCATGCATGGCATGCACACGGAAGCCAGCAACGAAAATCGCGAGTGGGTGAATATTTCGCATTCTAATCCAATCAGGACTGCGTATTCGGAGCAGATCATCGGTCTGCCGGGTCTCGTAATTTATATACCCAGGTACTACTCTTCCGAACCACAGCTGGTGTGCAATAGATCCCCGCAGACACGGTGGTAGGATGAGGCAGCAATAAACACCACAACACAGCAGTGCGTAAGGGACTGGCAACATTCGAACTCCTCAGTTCCAAAAGGTCACGTCACGCTGTAGCCATAGTAAGTATCCTAACGATGGTCGTATGCATGCAATTTTGGGGTCTTTCTTGTTCTCCTCCTTTGTAGCAATTTGCTGACTTTGCAAAGCTACTGTGACCTCCAGAAAGCGCAGACCAAATGCGGAGATTAGCTGTCGACCACCGTATAAGTACAGGGATGAGCGACTTCTTTTTACTTACATCCATTGAGGGTTAAATAAGCAGAGAGTATGGCGGGTTCTCAGCAGAACGTGTAGTAAGTTCATTCCGTCTGTCGCGCATATTGTTAGGAGAATAGCTATTTGACATCCCTTTTTTGTGAACGAGCTTAACAGCCATTCATTATTCTTCCTATTTTCCACTTCTTGACTGTTGTTTAAACGCTCCACTGTGCTTGCCCGATTGGTACACACACGTCATTGTTGATGGACGCTCATCGTCAGGTCCTTTTCAGCAGTGCGATTTGCAAGAACACATTCTATTGGTTTTTCTTCTCATCGCTGTTCTACTTGGTTACGTTAAAGGAATATTTAGTTGTCACACAATTATTGTACTCGTCTTTAATTTTTGGGTCTGCACTTATTATTCTCGGTTGTTTCATGACATTAGTTTAAAAGTTTCATTTCGTTATTCCGATTGACCAGTGCCCGTCACTGTAAATGGATGTTCACTTTACGCTTGGAGTCCCATGATGCTATTTTCATGGACATATGCGATTCGCTCTTGAGTACACGGTTGCTTATTCGGCCGTTGCAATTGACGTTTTTCCTTCTGTTGGTTGGCTTTAGTGTAATTTAGTAGCTTCGCTTCATTTCGCCTTCAAAACTACAAAAGCAACTGTGATTTCAGAAGAGTAGTAGGGGGAGTTGAATGTTATGGGTAGAAATTCATCACATCTAAGCTCTCTCAGACAGCAGTCACACTCTCGGAAAAGCACTGTACGCGCGTTTCATCCTTTCGGGAATCGTCAGCAGTGCGCATTCCATCGGGCCCTGGTAGGGCTCGAACCCGCAACTCGACTGTTGTCAGTCCGTGATTGAGACCGCTGAGCTACGGGAGACGTCAACGACCGTCGCAAATAGGTTACTAGATGTGATTAGCGCCGCTCACTATCCACTGACTTACACGTTACTGCCGTGCAGAGGACAGGGTATCTCCCTCACCAAGCGACCAGCTTACCAAAGTTAAGCCGCCAATTCACTTATGACATTATAAGCAGTTTGGTCTGTGTACTGATTATAGAAGAGTAATAGAGGGAGTTGAATGGTATATGTAGAAATTCGTCACATATCCGACATCAAGTTGTTTACATGAAACATAGGTTATAGCGTTTCCAGTATGCAAATGTCGGAAGTGCCCATCACAATTCACGGCTTGCCAGGTGGTGCAAAGAAAAATGTGCGTGTGCATGCGGGCTTTGAATTGGCCGTGTGTGTCCTTTTCTGTGTCATGTTCTTACTCATGAGAATAATCACGGATTTTCATGAATGGGCACACCGAAATTTTCCTAGCACACACTTCAAGCACAGTTCCTGTACTGTTCCGGCGTTTGAGTCAAGCACTTAAGCAAAGCAGCCAGCTCTTCTGTGTTTCCGAGGTCTGGCTCAGGTGGGTGGATGTCCCATTGATAGTGTGTAAGTTAGGTTAGTTTACACTCGCTCTTCTCCTTCTGACTTCAATGTAGCTAGACAGTTCCCCACCGGACTCAGAAGGCCGGAGATAAGCATAGTGATTGGTTCCACTCTAACGCGACGGGCTTCCTTCCACATGGTGTAGACAACGTTCACATGTTCTAAGTTCATAATTAGTTACATTCGTCTTTGACGCCCGAAGGGTTAACAGAGGAGGTTGCAACTCGCACGCTGCAGGCACTGAGGAGTAGTAGAATGGTGATCATTAGCGTTAACGACCCAATTATTGCGGGGTGGCTGACTTCCAGTTCAAACGGCCCCATCATTCGACACCTAGTACGCGAATATTTCTCAAGTGGCCTACAGAAGACGGAATAAGGCAATGTCACAGACGGCAATCAGCAGAACGTTATGGAAATGAGAACAACGAACGACTGTAGTATTGTGGGACCCAAACTAGTCTGCACAAACCAGTGCGGAAGTGAAGTATCCGTATCTATGTTCAGAGTTACCGTGCACGAGCGAGGGTCCCAGTAACCAAAGCAGTGGCGCAGCAGCAATGACCGTCGGCGGTCTACGAACCGTAAGCGTGAGACCACCTGTGAATACGCAGTGCTCGTACCGGGCACACAAAATCGCAACATGTTGGACAGTGACGTTAGTTTCAACGTAAAGTGTAACGTCACTAGGGAAAGCTCACAAACCCTTGCACAATGCTATGCCAATACACAAAAACGAGCGTTTGTCGGTTACCCATGACAAGAATGCCATGAGGATTTCATAAATAAATGGAATATGGGAAACTTTCTGATTATGACAGGACAATTCCATCAACCTTGAGTTGTAATACTGTTACCCAGCACAGCGGCCTTGGACTTGGAAATTGGCCCTGGCACTTATCACGAATATGGAGGGGACGGTTTACCTGATGACCAGTGGTACTGCACCATGACGGGAATATTGCGAGACGTAGTTGATCCACTATGGCAGCGGCTTAAATTTGCGGCCCAACAGAAGGAATACCTACATGGGGCCATCGATAGCCTGGACGGGCCTGTGCTGAGTCAGGTGAGAAGCCGATGAAACGGGGCACTCATCAGGAGGCTTATGAGTCGACGCGCAAGCAGCTGACCAAGTAGGGCACACATCGACGACGGTAGCAATTGGTGAAATCCAGAATGTGGGCTGGCCTGAGCGTGGCGCCAGTGGAGGGCCTAATATGGTGCACCGTAGCAAATCAGCCAGGAAGCTCGGTTCATTGCGAATAAGGCAAGGACACAAGCGCTTGGTGGACCGCGATGCTTCCATTGAGAGTTATATTTGGCCTATGCATTTGGCCGTCATTTAACGCAGAATAAACACCGTCAGCCGAATCATGACTTCAGTTTGACCCTCGGGATTAGAGCGCCAGGCGGTGGAGACTGGAAGCAGCAGTGCAACAAGATGCAAACGAGGTCGATTCATCGTCCCGCATGAAAAGCATGGTTCTGGTAAAATTCGTAAACAAGTAACTTAAATAAGTTCTACACACTTGACTGATCGGATATGACCTCTGGTGTTCATCTGTTAACTTCTTGGCGTTGTGTAAGCAATTATGAGCCGCAGAATAGGAGACCGGTTAAGATTCTGCAGAAAGCTGAACTGTGTAAGAAAAACAAGTTGGTGGTTAACGAAGGCCCGGAAGTCGAAATCTCTTAAGTTAAATTTCCCTAGCCCCCGTTCTCAAACACTGTCACAGCAGCCGGTGATTTCCTCACCGGAGCTCGCACGTGACGAGATTTGTGGACCGGTTCCACGTTGATGACAATATTAGTCTCAGTTGTGTTCACTTACACACGAGAATACATGAGAAAGGTACAAGGTCTACATAATCAACGCATCAACAATTGCAATGCCTCTTTCGAGGGCAACTCGCTCGATCACCCGTTCAATGTATGTCTTACTGAAGCACACTTCCACGACACTTCTCAGTGGAGAATGATTGACGCTATGCAATTTGTTATACATAATTTAACGAAAGGTCGCATGAGGTTGAGTTGCATGCAAAGAGGCTATTTACCAATAGGGTTTGTAACTTGTCTCTTCCTGGCAGAAAGTTTCGTCTTGCTTCTTAATGTCGTTTTAAGTATAGTGAATTGGACATGCGGATTCCTATTTGCTATTTGCATTAAAAGAGTGCAAATTGGGATTGCTTTCGATGGTACAGTAATGATACCGCTTAGACAGGGGAAAAGTAGCCATAAAATGGTTTTTCATGCAGCTGCATACTCAACTCACTATCATGTTGGCTTAACATGTGGAGGTAACGTGGAACGGAAACTCTGTAACTGTTTTTGACTTGCTTGCGACCGAGTGGTTTGTCAGGACAGTGCCATCCTCTTACAACATTACATTCTGTACATTCATCCAGTTTGATTAGTGCTAATCCCGTAACCGAAATGAATACAAGTACTGTGCCTTGCCTTATCTCGCCTCCGCCTCTCCCTTCTTTTCACAGAAATTTTTTATCCGTAGCTCCAAAGGAGACAATTTTAGCAAATACACATGTACCAAATCGAACGTGTGTGAGATCAACAAAGACACACGAACACACTGCCAGCGATGTCGGTATCAGAAATGTCTCCGTCTCGGCATGGTCTTGCCAGGTGAGTGATTCAGACACTTGTGTGCATGTTGTGTTGTGTCCCCCGCTTCGACCGTCGCCCTGGACCAAGTGTATCCGCGTGCCAATCGAAATGCGAACACCGCTCATTCCATCTCGCTTATTGCAGTCTGTGTCCGCATGTACAAACTTATAGGAAATCGAACAAAGTCAATTCGGAGTAAGTCGCTGTTCTAGCATGAAGTGGACAGGCAACGTCCATTGTGAACAACGAATGAGCAATTTGCTATACCGCTACTCAGACTGTGTGCAGTGTTCGGAATTGGCCTGATGGATTTTTCAGAATAGAACTATCAGCTGTAAACAGACATGATGGGAAACTGTCCCACTAAAAGCCACAAACGCCAGCCACGTTGTGACTACGTAAAATTGTTAATTCTTGCTGCAAAATGCTGCAAACGCACCCATTCGGGTACATAAAGCTTGACTTGATTTGACTTGACAAAGAAACGGTCAGTAGAGACTGTAGACACCAACCATCTTCTCAAAATTTTGCAATTTCCCGAGCACACCAATTGGCTTGTTTTTAAGTGTAGTCTATTTGGTTACAGCCTAACTTGCTTTCCGGGAAATCCTAGCTATCCTGTGTCCCCACCTATTCTTCATCTAAACATATTTAATGAACGTGACAAATCGCCATTCCTTGCGCCCAACAGGGTTATGGGACAATGCGATGATGCACTTGTAGGATGTCGCTCTTCATGTGCTTGCGCAGTTATCAACCATTGAACATCATTAGACCTGAGCAATTGACTCCAACATTAGTTAGTCACAAACTCACCTTGGCCATGCTCTCATTACGCAGGTCACAGCAGCATACAATTTTGTTTCCGTAACACCATTGGTTATATAACAATCCCTCAATTCGGTGGCTGTGTACAAGTCATCAAAAATAGCAGCCAGCTCACTTTGTACACGCTTTTTCTGCGGATTGCTTCATTGTGGAGCCCTTTGTTGCATCACCCGATAAGCAGAATACATTGCAGGCGTTGTTAGTGAAGTTGTCCTATAAAACTAGTGACGTTCTGGCGTTGTATCTAAGGTCTGCTGCAGTGGAGAAGGACATAGCGCTGACTTATAAGATATTAGCCTGGGGCAACACAGTTGCTCATCAGTTTTTTCATAAACTGCACCCACGTTTGATTTAGGAATGTACAGCTCGCAGTTATTTTCAAATCTATTGACAAAGCACCTTTGTCTATCCGGTTGACTTGCATTGTGATACTTTGTCACCTATCCAAATTTGTGAGTCGCACATTGCTTCCACTCTTGGTAGCGGCTAAAAGGTATACAACCCCCCTATGTAAGAGGTATGCCCGAACGCCGCTACCATGGAAGGGAGCAACCATACCATGCGTTGCCGGTTCACCTCTGCGTAAGCAACATGCGGTCGTCAACTGGCAACAGTATCCGGACGATGGGCGCGCGCCCACTTACTGTCAATAGGCCATTTGCTACTACACGCGGATGAATATGCCACCTAGATTGATGACGAAACGTCTGCAACCACATTGCCCAGGTCAGTGAGCAAATCAACGCCTCGACTGCCACCTCGAGCTACTCATATTCTGCGCTATAGTTACTTATAGGTTGAAAACCATAGTGTTAGAATGCATCACGTCTTGACATCGGGCAAAAACTGGCTGTTTCTCTATGTTCGTTGCTCTAACCCATAAAGGACTGTGCAGAGGTTCATTTAATTGAACACGCTTACGAGAGCATCTCAAATTAGTTACGGTTGACCGGTACCAATATCACTGTGGAACCAGTGAACAGGCATTACAAGGCCACGTCTGTATCGGCACTCCTACTGCGGCTGATGAGTTGCGGACAACGTTCATTGTGCTTCGGCCCAAGCAAGATCCGCGTTGCTCTACGTCCAGGTTGCGCTAAATCAATTCAGTTACAAGGTAGTTTAGTAGGACCCAGACATGAAACTCTCTTACGCCTCTTAGCAAATCCCTATTTCAGAAATTGTTGATGGCTGCGCGCTCCTCTTTCTCTCGGTCGGTGAGGACACATGCGCATCCTTCATAGCAAAAGAGATCTACGCTCGTATTTACACGTGTTCCACTAAGCAGTGTAACGCAGGAGTCTCAGAGGGACCCCATTGTTTCAGGTTTCTGGTGATAGTGCCTGGTCGCTATGATGGGATTATGCAAACAGAAGAGCAGTATGGATTTACATTAGGAGGCAAACAAACGAAGCAGATCATTGAACGCCTACGCATCTTCGCCTGTATGCTGGATGTTTCGTATTTGTCAGCGCTAGAGTGAGTTTGTTTGCCTGATTCGAAGGAAGAATCTCATGGATGAAGCAACGTCGTTATTTATAGGACTGAGTTAGTTATTTACATTGAAGCTTCTCCAACGTAATTGCGATGAGCCTGCTTTGTCGAAAAACCCGTTTGTCCCTGAAGGACTGAGTTCTGCGACACGATGTCAGAGATAACCAAGACAATTTTGCCGGACGGCACTCAGTTGCTGCTGGGAGCTCAGCCATCTGTACAAACACCTGCCCCGTTGAATATGAAAGAACACAAGTTGGCCAGTAGTTGGGGAATCTGGAAAAGTAAATGGATCGATTTTTGCGCACTAGTGCGTTTGAATGAACAACTGATGGCGTATCGCCTGACCATGTTTCGACATACGATCGGAGATGAAGCACGTCGTGTCCTGGAAACGATGCAGCGCGAGGACGACGAGGACCCAGCTGAACTGGAAACAGTCATCCGAAAATTCGGCGAGTGCTGCGAGGGTGGGACTAACGAGACGTATCAGCGCTATCACTTTTTTACTCGAAGCAGGCGCCCGAACGAAACTATTGAGAACCATGTTACGGAGCTGAACATGCTGGCTCGTGCTTGTACTTTTGCAATCGCATGGCTGACAGACTCATCCGAGATAGAATCATGCTGGAGATCAATGATGAAAATAATACTAAGCGGCTGTTGCAGCAACGGCATTTATCGCTCAGACTATGTCCTGATATATGCGTCAGTGAATCCTCAGCTACACACCACATCCAGCAAATGTGGTTGCCGCCTGATGCCGAGCTATGTGCCGTATCCAACTTGCCTGACACAACTGCGAAGCCTGTTACCAAGATACATGAAACTTGCAAATTCTGCGCCGCGTGATACCCGAAGGATCGTGATCAATGTTTGGCTTGGGATGGAATTTGCGCCAAATGTGGCTGCCAGTCTTCAAAGGTGAATGTACTCAATCGTGACCCAACACCCTTTGACTCAGAACATTAAATCAGCAACCTGTTGCGAACGGGACCAAAGAAGTGTGTCTATACAAGTTTGTTGATTGACGATGATATAGTACGATTCCAGTTAGACACGGGTGCTACCATCAACATAATACCAGCGAAGCGGTGCCATGGAATTCGTGTGCGACCCGATCAGGAGTCCCTACTTATGTGGAACGGTTCCAAGCTCCAGCCTAACGGTTTGGTCACAATCAAAGTGATCAATCCCAGAGACAGCTCCTCACGTCAGTTGGATTTCGTGGTGGTCGAGGTCGATCTTACACCGATTCTCAGAACTGGTTCCATCCAGTGTCTTGGCTTTATTCATTTTAACCATGATCCTTTTGTGCAGGTGTGTCGAGCGGAGACAGATGTTAGTGAACAGTATCCGTCCGTGTTTAGCCCAGGTTTGAGGGAGGTTTGAAGATTCAGTTCATTTGTCACTAGGTCCGTCAATAAGACCAAATGCTCTGCGGACTAGTAGGGGTCCGTTCGCTTTAGATGATAAGTTCGACCCGAAGTAAATGACGCAATTGGGCGTAATTGCTATGATCGATGAGCCGACAGACTGGGTTAGTCAGGTTACCATTATTACGAGCAAGAATGGCGATTTACGTTTGTGCATAGATCTCAAGCCATTGAATGACGCTTTACGCAGACAGCACTGTACGGTGCCAACATTAGAAAATGTCCTGCCGCGTTTGGCTAAGGCAAAGCACTTCCCCAAGGTCGATCTATCGTCGGCTTTCTTGCACATCGTCCTAGATGAGGAATACAGTTTCTTAACGACGTTTGTCACACCCTACGGACATTTTCCATGGCTAAGTTCACCGTTTGGTTTGAAAGTTTCCAACGAAATGGTTTAGAAGCAGCTGTTGCAAGCTGTTGACGATTTAGGCGGTGTAACATATATAGCAGACGATGTGCTGATTTACGGCTCGACGGACCAGGAACATGACGTCAGTGTGCACCACTTTTTGCATCAATGCATGCAAAAGCACGTAAAGCTTGAACGTGAGAAAGTTGAGCTCCGGAAATTGAAACTGAGTTTTCCCGAGCACGTCCTGACATCCGAGGGAATTAAGACTGATCCCGAGAAAATCAAAGCAGTGCAGGAAGTGCCACAACCTAAGGATGTCGAGGCTGTTAGTCGTTTAGATGGTTTGGTGAAGTATTTGAGCCGGTTCTTGCCAAGACTATCTGAAATGATGACGCCAATCCGGTGGCTGACACACATAGGTGTACAAGGGAGTTCGGGAGAAGAGCGGGAAATCGAATTTACAATCATCAAACATTTGATCAGCTGTGCACCAGTATTCGGCTACTACGATCCAGATCTGCTTTTGGAAATGCAGTGTGACAGTAGTCAGAGCGGAATAGGCGCCGTTCGAATGCAGGATAGCTAGCCCTTGGATTTCCACAGTCATGCGCTCACGGTGGCGGAACAGCGCTATGCTTAGCTTAAAGAGGAGATGCTCGCTGTTGTCTACTGGATGGACAGAATCAACAATCACACCTTTGGGAGAAAGACTACCGTGTATACTGACCATAAATCGCTCGTATCAGTAGCCAGTAGACCGTTACACAGTGTTCCTCGACGTCTTCAACAAATGCTTATGCGGCTCTAGACATACTATTTGGGTATTGTGTACACCCTGGGAACGCAAGTGTTCATTGCGGACGCTCTGTCGAGAGTTCGTCTTTCCATAGTCGAACAGCAGAAAGAAG